AATAATGATAATAACGATAACGATAATAACAATGACGATAATGATAACGATAATAACGATAATGCTAATAATAATAACAATAATGATAATAACGACAACGATAATGACGATAACGATAATGATAAAAACAATAACGATAATAACAATGACGATAATGACAATAACGATAATGATAATAACGATAATGATAATAACGATAACGATAATGATAATAACGATAACGATAATGATAATAACGATAACGATAATGATAATAACGATAATGATAATAATGATAACGATAATGATAATAACAATAATGATAACGATAATGATAATAACGATAAGGATAACAATAACGATAATGATAATGATAATAACAATAATGATAATGATAATAACAATAATAACTAACGATGACGATAATGATAATAACGATAATGATAATGATAATAACGATAATGATAATAACGATAACGATAATGATAACGATAATGATAATAACAATAACGACAACGATAATGATAATGATAATAACGATAATGATAATAACGATAACAATAACGATAATGAGAATGATAACAACAATAATAACAATAATGATAATGATAATAGTGATCATTAATAGATTTTCAGTCTATATTTAAAGATGATTTTCTTCTTCAGGCATTTCACGCTGTGGCCAACTTCAAGTCCTCTGATGACATCACTCTGACCCCACCTCCCCCGCGGCCGAAGGAGGACCCTCTGCGAGCGCTGACTGAGCGAGGACACGAGTCCGTCTACAACAAGGGCCCCGCCTCTGCCTCGGAGAGCAACGACGAGATAGCGGCAGCTCCGGCCCCCATGGATCGGCTGGAGGGACTGGGGCCCCTGCAGAGGGAGAAGTCCTCCATGGGTAGCTTGAAGAGGGCCAGCGTGGACGTGGAGCTGCTGGCTCCTCGCAGTCCAATGGGAAAGGAGACCATGTTGACCTTTAGCAACACGCTGCCAAGGGCTAGCATGAATGTTAATGGGGTGCTGGGGGCTAACTCGGGACCAGAGGAACAGGTGCAGCCGGTGCAGCCGGTCCAGCCGGTGCAGCGGCGTCTGAAGGCCGTGCAGGTTCCCATGGACCCGATGCGCTCGCAGCAGCTGGTGACAGAGTGGAAGCAGAAGTCAATGGAGATGAGAGGTCTGAGCATCCGGGACGAGACGGAGCATGAGTTCAGCGAGGATGGATCCGAGGTGGGCTCTGTAGGGACAGACGACGGGGGGTCTCAGGTCCCCATATACCAGACCGCAGTGCATTCTGGGAGGGCAGCCTCTAGCCGTAACCCCACTCCGCCTCCAGGGGGTGCCAAAGCTGTGGCGACTCCCAGACCGCCGCAGATTCCTGAAGCTGGACCCCCACCGGTGTCCCCAAAGAGCGCCCTGACCCGGGCTAAGTGGCTTGCCATCAGAGAGAAGGCCAGCGGGGAGGGTTCAGGCCGTGGCTCCTCAAACCAGCCACGACTCATGCAGGTCATTGCCATGTCGAAGCAGCAGGGCCTCCTCCCCTCCTCCTCAGGGGAGAAGTCCTCTGAGACCACCTCCACCTGTTCTGGCACCTCCTCCACCGCAGACTCTCCGCACTACCGCCCCCCCTCTGAGCAGCAGCGGGAGGGCTTGGGTATCATCACTGTGGATGCACACGCCCCCCACCATCCTGTCGTTCAAGCCCAACCCCCTCTTCAAGCCCCGCCCCTCGCAGGTAACGGTAACCCGTGGGAGTGGGGGGGGGCGTCCAATGGGGGCGACCCTCGAGACACCTATGACCTCAACAGCCTGAACCGAGGAGACTCTGCCGCCCGTGGCAGCAGTTTTCGGCCCCACCGATCTGCCTCGCCATGCACCGCAGTCGGCCACGATACGACCTTAACTCACCCACAGATGGAGACGGCAGCAGACGCTCAGCGCAGGGAGATGGCCATGAGACGCAAGACAGCGCTAGTTCTGTTGGATCGAGAGATTCGTAACCAGACTGAACAGGAGAACTATTATAAGAGTTTGCAGGGACGAAGGTTCAAGGATTAGTCTCTTACCTTTTAAAAATAAAAAGCCTTATTTTGAAACTGGTCACCAACAGCACAGACCCTGGACAGCAGTTTGGACCGTGTTGCTATGCATTTCTTGGGCTTCATGTGATGGAAGGTTTTAGCTGTAAGAGATGAAAGTTTCCATCCAGAAGGGTCAGGTTTGATGCTCGGTGGCTCAACCCTCTGGACAGTCTTCTCTCGACATAAAAGACGTATTTAATGTGTTAACACTCCTGCAGTATCAGCCTTTACTTGTCCAGTAGTTCTTTTTGAGTAATTATTCAAAATGTTAAAAGCCTTTCACGGAACCCACTTTACAAACAAAAATCCAGCAAACCTACATGAATAATGATGCTGTTGGGTGGAAGTGATGTGAGAACCCTGGCAGTAGAGTTCTGGTCTTATTGAAGTCTGGATTCTGTTTCAGTTATGGAAGTGTAATGGATGGATGAAGGTCTTTGTAACCGACGGAGGAAGTGTAATGGATGGATGAAGGTCTTTGTAATGGACGGAGGAAGCGTAATGGATGGATGAAGGTCTTTGTAATGGACGGAGGAAGTGTAATGGATGGATGAAGGTCTTTGTAATGGACGGAGGGGGTGTAATGGATGGATGAAGGTCTTTGTAATGGACGGAGGAAGTGTGATGGATGGAGGAGGTGATGGTCACAGTCTGCAGATGTTCATCTGATGGTACAAAACAGATTTGGTGATAGATTTTAATCTCTGGAGTCATGGTCATGTCATATAATCTGGGGTCGATTCACAGTTTCTCCATTTCATTACCAAATAAGACAGAATTCATTTATGACATTTAGTTATTTAATTGCATTTTGACAAAAAATCTGAATGGCTTAGTTTATGTGCAATATTTTGTGGTTAACAATTTGTTGTTGTTTACAGTCAGTGTTTGAAATAAAGCTCAAAGCTTTGAAAGTTATAAGATATATTTAGAGTGTGGCTGGGGCCTGGCCTAATATTAATGTTATATTAATAATAATAAGAATTTAAAAACCATATATCATCTTGACTTGGCTCTGACCATCGTCGACACCTGAGATCGTTGTCTATCAGAAGCACCATAAGTCGCCCATTCTCATGATTTAGGTGGTGCTGGAGCCGAGTCCATGCAGGGATTACATGCAGGTGGTGGAGCGGTTGTGGATTATTTTGTGGGCAAATGAATAAGAAGAGGAAACTCTTCTCCAGTCCATCAGTGGTCAGAACGGTCCAGGTTGTTCCCAGCTGGTGACCAAAGTTGAACTATATCAGTTGATGATATAATGTTACATAACGCTTCTCCAGACTTAAGAACTTGCTCTGCTGTTCTGCTCGTGTTCGCTGTATCCGGGTTCCTCCGATCCGACAGCTATCAGGACCAAAATGTGATGCTTGGTTCTCGTCCAGGAAGTATTCATGTGATCATGATACGCCTCCCAAAAGTAACACATTTAGGAGTCAAGGTTGTTACGTCATAATCATCATGTAATAAAACATATTGTTTTCTTAATCTAAATAATACAAAAATATTGTGTTTACATTGAGGCTCCCATCGTTTGACCTACTTGTTGTACTGACGGTTCAGTTTGAATGAGAGTTTCTGATTGTGATCTAATGGTCAGAATATTAAAACAGCCACAGGGGGCGCTGGTCTGTTACCTTCCACTAGAATAGATGGATGCACATAATGTACGAAGATGTTGTTTCATTTATGTTTGTATATAAAAACGTGGCAAAAGATCTCAGGTCATTAAACAAAACCTTCTTCTGCCTGAAGACCAGAACCCTTTGGTCTGGTTCACTGATCCTGCAGAGACTTTATCTCCTTCATCTTTAGAGTCGAACGTCCACAGTGTTGAGCCACCGAACAGGAAGCTGGAAGGATTCCATGGTAACTCATTCTGTGAATAATCTGCAGTTCAGAGCCGATTTTAAGGATTAATTCTGGAAGCACAAACTTGCAAGAAACCTGAACAAACCTGCAGTGATGAGATCCTCCTGCTGCTGCACCACCATCCAACAGTCCAGCACCCACTTCCTGTCTCAGACCCCGCCTCCTCCGAGGGGAAGGCCTGTGTCTGTTTTCTGTAGAGACGTGATTCGCTGACGTCTCTACCGACACATTCTCACACCAACGTGTCAAATAACGCAGCTCTGTCAGTGATGCTGAGCTTCAGGTGACGACGCTCGTTACATGCAGAGTGTCTTTTCAAGATAAACTTCAGTCTTCACAGGAAGTTCGGTTTAGGCAATAAAAGCACAGAGTTAGTTTGATGAGTGTGGTTGGTGTAACTATGAGTCATGTGACCAACTTTTACTTTTAGTTTGACAGGAAATAAACAGCGGTTTCCTGTTTGTTTGACTTATCCCCCCCACACACACACCCCGCTGTGTGAACTATCTCATACTACCCATAATGCTTTGGGTGTCAGACGTTGAGGTGCGCTGACCGAGCTGCGATACTTGAAGACAAACAGACTGTGGTGGCCATCTTGATTGTATATTACCAGAGTGTTGTCGTCCCTGTTGTGATGGCTTGGTTGCTATAGTGATTCTCAGCATGTTTGTTTGTTTGTGTGCTACTCTGATTGGTCGAGGCTGTAAGTCTGTTCAGAGTTTTTGTGTGTGAATCTGAAAGTGTGTATTTATTACGGATAAAAGTGTAATATTTTGAAGGAAAAGTAGTAATATTACAGAATATGTTCTTATTCTGTTGTAGTTAACGGATTGTTTTCTCCTCAGTGGCTCTATAATGAAGAACAAGAGAAATATTTTATTAAAGACACTGTACATCTCAAACTCAATCAGTTTATCTGTCAATATGTAATATTGATAAGCCAATACTGTAAATGTGTCCGTGTGTCGTTGCATGTGTCCACAGTTTGATTTTAAATCAGACGTTTGTCCTTTTTTCAGGATTTCTCTTCATTTCCATCTGAATGTAAAAACATGAATGTTCATTTAACTTGAACCTTAAAAAGTAAAAATAACTGCTGCTATAAAAAGAGTTTAATGTGTGAAAATAAGCCTGAAGGATGGATGCTGCATGCTCGTTATGATGAAAGTTCAAAATTAAAAGTTATTCTTGATCAAAAATAGTTTAAGTGGTTTATTCATTTCTTTTTTAAATCATTCATTTTGGTTGTTTCTCAGTAAAAATTCACCGTTTCAGAAAAAATGTATAATTAAGGTAAGTGATGTACTAGTACATGTATTTAATTTCAGCAGGTACAAGTATCTCCTGCGTACAAGTTAGTATCTCCTGCGTACAAGTAAATATCTCCTGCGCACCAGTAAATATCTCCTGCGCACCAGTTAGTATCTCCTGCGTACAAGTAAGTATCTCCTGCGTACAAGTAAATATCTCCTGCACACCAGTAAATATCTCCTGCACACCAGTTAGTATCTCCTGCGTACCAGTTAGTATCTCCTGCATACCAGTAAGTATGTCCTGCGTACCAGTAAGTATCTCCTGCGTACCAGTTAGTATCTCCTGCGTACCAGTAAGTATCTCCTGCATACAAGTAAATATCTCCTGCTCACCAGTTAGTATCTCCTGCGTACCAGTAAGTATCTCCTGCATACCAGTTAGTATCTCCTGCGTACCAGTATCTCCTGCGCACCAGTTAGTATCTCCTGTGTACCAGTTAGTATCTCCTGCGCACCAGTTAGTATCTCCTGCGTACCAGTAAGTATCTCCTGAGTCCAAATAGCAGTTGGAAGTACCATGCAAAAGCAACCACATTAATCAAGCGATGATGTGGACCAAATAGAGGTGAATGGTATCTGTGGAGTGCGGCTGATGAGTGAATGAGCTGCATGTGGGGTGGGGGGGGGGGGGGGGGCAGGAGAGCAGGACTGTGCTCACAACAATGTGAATTACTTATATTTGTACTTCAGGGTTTCTGTAGAAAAGGAGGTAAAATAATCAAAGGTCTCCTGAGATGATTAACAGTAGAAGTGGAGTTGATGTTCATCAGCTTTTTAATTTCCTATCTAATCGTTCAGTTTAAAGATCTTTAGAGTCTTTTCTGCCTTCGGTTTCTTTATGATTTGAGTTTGCTGGAGTTCTGGATCCCGCGGGGCGTCTGGTTAAACCAACCAATTAGAGTTGAGAGATTAAAGACTTTTGAGATGTTCAGATTCAGGCAGACAGCGGGAGATTTCCCTCTCAGTCTCCAGAGGACACTTTAATAAAATTCTTCAATAAAGCCTCAGCTGTGAACTTGAACTGACCCAGTTCAAATTTAGGATCCTTTTCAGCAGCTGCATGATGGTTTTTGTGACAAGGTCAGTGCTCAGAAGGAAACGGACGTTTTTTAATTCTCTACATTAAATTACTTTTTGTTGACTCTCTGGTCTCCGGATTGTTTTGAACTTTGAATGTTGTCATGTCGTCAATTTCCTCTGAGTGGAGCTCCCTACAGGCACTTCTTCCTTTTGTTGGGAACACATTTAATATCAACAGACCGTTTTATTCTACATTTCTGTAAATCAACATGTTTTGATTCTGACTATAGGAAAATATTTCATCAAATATAAATACAAGCATACAAATAAATCAAAAGGTACAAAACTCTAACAACACTGAATGCATCAAAATAAAGACATAAGAAAACTAGATGTAAACAAACCTATCAAAATAACAGATTACAGATACAATCCATATCTTTACATTTTCCTCCCGTTTGCACGAGACGGATGTTCTGAATCTGAAGTAATAAAAATAAACTTGTATCTTTCAGGACTTTCATGATAGATATTTGAGATCCTCGTCATTATGTTATTATATTATATATTATGACAGCAGAGATTCTCAACTTCTTGACGGATTATTCAGTGTTTTTCTGCTGTAAAGTTTTATTTCCTCTAAAATGGGAGCTCTAAAAACCTCCTGCAGGTTAAACCGGATTAAACTCACTAGTTTAGCAACATTTAAGTTACAAACAACCCATGATGCAACAATCTCCGTTTAAAAACTATATGATGTTATAAACACACAACTGACCTCAAACAAACACAAACAAACACTTCTAAGATTTAACGAGAAGTTTAGTCTTGTTGATGAAAATCAAACTGAACTGAAACATGAAGATGTTTGATTTTACACACACACACACACACACACACACACACACACACACTCGCTGCCTTATGTCCTGCACCATCAGGCTCATTATGCAGTTTCCATGGCAACAGTGTTGATGGCTGATGTAGAGATAAGAGCTCAAACACACACACACACACATATCCACCCTCTTTATTTCCTGGAGGCGATCCAGTGTGTTGCCATGGCTACAGAAACCAGAAAATGTGTGTATGTGTGTGTGTGAAGGTGTGCGTGTTAGTGTGAATGTGTATGTGTGTGTGTGTGTGTGAATGTGTGCGTGTGTTAATGTGTATGTGTGTGTGTGTATGTGTGTGTGTGAATGTGTGCGTGTGTTAATGTGTATGTGTATGTGTGTGTATGTGTGTGTGTGTGTGTTCATGGTTTTATATCTTTTATTTTGGTTGTATTCAGTAAATATTAGTTTCGTGTCTCTTGTTCTTTTCTGTTATTGATTAATAAAATGTTATATTTTTGTCTCATTTATTCATAATTCAGTATTTCAGATTTTAAGATGGAATCCTTAAATTAATCTTCTTTATTGGTCAGCAGCTGCTTCTTTAGATTCAAGAAGAAACGTCTTTGAACTGTTTTAATGGAATGTGTTGAAGTACTTTTGATTCGTAGTATTTGAACAATAATCATTTTACATTTCTTAACTTTAACTTTTTTTCAGGAGATGTTTTCTGATTTTTCTTTAATTTCACAAATAGAATTCCCTTGGAGAACGTTTCTGGTATTTAAAATTAATTTCCCCCAAATCTCTTATTTTGACATCTTAACAGACGGACTGTTTGAAAAATGTTTTTTATTCTTTGTGTCATTTTTAGATGCATCAGTTTAAAATCATGAGATCAAACAAACTTTCACCCTTAATTTCTTATATGAATCAGACACATCACCTCCGTCCAGCTGATTGGACGAGGAGAAGGGACCAATCAGGAGCAGCCTTTTCTTTAGAGCGTTCTAGTTTAAAAGATGAAGGAGAAAGTCTGAGAAAAGTCCTGTTAGTGAAGAGACGAACCAGAGGAGTCACTATGTCAGCAGGTCCTGGTCCTAGTCCTGGTCCTGGTCTCACTGGTCTTCCTGATTGGAGAACACTCCGGCCTCCCAGCGCAGAGCGCGTTGGTTTTTATGTCGATTGACTCGAGTTGACTCAACAACCTGAAAACAGACGAAACAGAAAGAAAATGAGACAAAAGACAAATAAGAAAAAGATGTCCGGTTAGCCGCCGGTTAGCAGCCGGTTAGGTTAACCTGCAGTACGAAGGTAAATTAAGTCTGTACCTCATTATTCACGTCGTCGACCGGCTGAATTCCTGCGTACTGAAAAAAGAAAAACACAGAAGAGATGACGTGTTTTTACATCCTTCAAAATAACAGCTTGTGTCTTAGAGCCTCTACAAACATATTAACCTTCAAAATAAGACCTTGTGTCTTAGAGCCTCTACAAACATTTTAACCTTCAAAATAAGACCTTGTCTCTCAGAGCCTCTACAAACATTTTAACCTTCAAAATAAGACCTTGTGTCTTAGAGCCTCTACAAACATTTTAACCTTCAAAATAAGAGCTCGTGTCTTAGAGCCTCTACAAACATTTTAAACCTTCAAAATAAGAGCTTGTGTCTTACGGCCTCTACAAACATTTTAAACCTTCAAAATAAGAGCCAGGACATATCGATGACTCACCACACTCTCCTCCAGCTTCACTCTGACTCGTCTCTCCTTGAAGCCCTGCAGCAGTGTCTCTGTCAGACCTTTGACAAGAGGGGGGGCTGACCGGACCACCACGGGGGAAGAAAAGGGGGGGGGGAGGGGGGAGGAGGAGCAAGGGGGAGAGGAAGAAGAGGGGGGGAGTGAGGAGGACCAGGGCTGACCCGTGATGAAGGAGATGGAGGGGAGACGGACGGACGGACGAGGAGACGGAGAGGACACACTGACGGGATGATCTGTAACACAACAGGAAGAACATCATCAATGACACTGTATGTGGCACACTGTGATGTTGATAGTCAGTTATATCTATCGATCAAGATGAAACCAACCAGCTTGCTAAACTTCAAGCAGTCTTAAGGACTTAAAAACCTGGATGAACTGCAACTTCCTGATGTTAAACTCAGACTAAAGTGAAGTTACTCTATTAGGCCCAGAATACCTGGCTCAGGTTTATAGTCGGGGCTGGCTCAGGTTTATAGTTGGGGCTGGTTCAGGTTTATAGTTAGGACTGGCT